AGGGACGTCCTCTTCAGAGCTTTTGTGAGCCCGCCACCCCACCCCCCTACTGCCACCACACTATTAAGTTTATTCAATAAATGCACTTCTCTGACCCAGGACATAAAGGACCTGGGGTGGAATTCCCCCAACCTGGCTGATACCAAGGGACAGCCAGCTCCATGGGAGAGGCTGAGCTCCTGGGTCTGCCAGGGTGATGAGAACATGGGCCGCTCAGAGTATGTATCCTAAATCAGGGTGGCTCAGAGACCCCAGTGTGCACCACCCCCAGCATGAGGAGCAGGAGCCGTTAGGCAGAAGACTGACTCTGGGCTTATCCTCGGGTTGACCAGGAGGCCGAGTCAGCTGTGGCTTCTGCAAGTGGAGTGGACCGGGGTGTGGGTGTCCAGAACTCTGGTGGTTGCAGGCAAGGACTGGTGCATACAGGGCCCTAAGCCAGCAGAGAGAGCGGAGCCACAGGGGCTGCCAAAAGGGGCTGCAGCACCTGCTCGAGCCGGAACGGTATTTGTCCTCTTGGAGGGCATCTGGCCGGGTGATGTGCTGTGGGTAAGGGGATGACCCAGAGCTGCCTGGGGAACAGCTTCTGTGCTCAACACTGCGTTATTATAGCTGAAAACTGCTAAAAGGCTGCTCCGGGGACAGACGGGTAAGGAGTTCAGAGGAGGCAAGGATGGCTCCCAGTGGGGAAGGGAATCTAAGAAGGCGTCCTGGAGGAAGTAGCATCTAAGACTTGAAGATGAGAGAAGATTTAAAGGAAAAAAGAGAAGGATTTCCCTTGTGGTCCAGTGGCTAAGACTCCATGCTTCCAACGCGGGGGGCCCAGGCTTGATCCCTGATCAGGGAACTAGAGCCCGCATGCCTAAGGGTTTTCAGGCCATGACTAAAGATCTTGTGTGTTTCAACGAACATCAAAGGTCCCACCTGTCACATCTAAGGCTGGCGCAGCTTAATTAGTTATTAAACAGAAGGCAAGAAGATGGGAGGAAGGAAGACCAGGAAATGGCAAGAAGAGGCAGCAGCACAAAGTCTGGAAGGTGGGGAAGCGGCGATCTGTGCTTAGAACGGGCTGTCAATTCCATGGGAACCCAGGATGTAGGAAGGAGAATGGCCAGGATGGAAAGTCAGGCCGAGACAGGTGGTGGCAGCCCTGGACACTTTCTGCTGGGCCTGGCTCAGCTCCAGTGACATCATCTTTCTTTCTTTTTTTTTGACACCATTTTTCTTGAAGACGCCCCAACCCTTTCCCCTGCTGAACAGCGAGGCTTCTCAACAGTTCATCAGGCTCCCAGCGCCTCCACCCTTAGCCTTCTGCGGCTTCTACCTTCGTCTGCAGGCCCCCCTTTGCATTCCACCAACCTCCTTCCCAGGGCAGAGTGGCCTCTGGTTCCCCTCTAGGGAATGGACTCCTCGGTCTGCCTCAGCTCCGTGTCCAGCCTCCGGATCCCCTGTGCCGGGAATGAGCTGCACAAAGGCCCTTTCTCACTCCTGTCTGTGCTCAGCCCGTCGGTCAGGCCCTCCAGGCTCCTCTGTCCATGGAATTTTCCAGGCAAGAATCCTGAAGTGGGCTGCCATGTCCTTTTTCACTTACCACATTTTAAACTCCATTCCATCTTGGGAGTTTAAAATGGAGGCCGGGAGACTTACCTGGTGGTCTAGTGGTTAAGACTCCACACCTCCACTGCAGGGGCGCAGGTTTGATCCCTGGTTAAGGAACTAAGATGCCCCATGCTGCTTATCTGGGGTTGGGGTGGGAAATGAGGGCCAGGAGCAGATAGACATGGTCTAACTTGTTATCAGTGCAGTTCAGTCGCTCAGTCATTTCCAACTCAGACCCCGTGGACTGCAGCACGCCAGGCCTCCCTTTTCATCGCCAACTCCCGAAGTCCACCAAAACTCATGTCCATTGAGCTTGATGCCATCCAACCATCTCATCCTCTGTCGTTCCCTTCTCCTCCTGCCTTCAATCTTTCCCAGCATGAGGGTCTTTTCCAGTGAGTCAGCTTTTCACATCAGGTGGCCAAAGTATTGGAGTTTCAGCTTCACAGCTTCAGCATCAGTCCTTCCAATGAACACCCAGGACTGATCTCCTTTAGGATGGACTGGTTGGATCTCCTTGCTGTCCAAGGGACTCTCAAGAGTCTTCTCCAACACCACAGTTCAAAAGCATCAGTTTTTCGGCGCTCAGCTTTCTTGACAGTCCAACTAACTGTTAAATCCTAACTTGTTATAGGAGTGTAAAAAAAAAAGGTACCAGGAGCTATTTGGCTCCAGCCCCCGCCCCTACATTCTTTCCCCCTGTCTGGGAGTTCTGGAATGCTCCTGGGCTCTTCAGTCGCCTTTCTTCCTCATTGTCTGGGTCCAGGGTCACTCTGGAGGTGGCCCTCTGCCTTTCTCACTGATCTCCAGAGTCCCTCCAGACCTCTACTTGGATATGTGTGTGTGCAACAGACCAGTCCATGAGATCAGTCATGTCCGACTCTGTGCCCCCGCCCCGCCCCTTGGACTGCGGCCCGCCAGGCTCCTCTGTCCATGGGATTCTCCAAGCAAGAATACTGGAGCAGGTTGCCATTTGCTCCTCCAGGGGATCTTCCCGACCCAGGGATCAAACCCGTGTCTCCTACATGTCTCCTGCATTGCAGGCGGATTCTTTACCGCTGAGCCACCACGGAACCTCTTGGAGCTGGGTAACTGTGAGCACCAGTCCTCTGCCCCCTGGAAGGACTGGCTCCGAAACATTGGAGACACGCTGCCTCTCCGACTGAATGTCAGAGGAGGGGACCAGGCTTCATGGCTCCTCGCTCCGCAAGCTGACACAGGCCTTTCCATGAGGAGCACTTTCCTTTCCCCTCCTTCTACAATGAGGTGTTTTGTATCTTCTCTCATCTGCTTCTGTGTCTGAGGGCTTCCTGTGTGGAAATATCTGGGATTACTGCTGGGAGACATTCCTAGCCCCCGAGGTGCTCCTAGTTGAGGGTTGAAAGGCAGACACACCAAAAGGAAGTCAGAGAGCCACAGGTGTCCAGATAGGTGCGAGAACCTTCTCTCGGAGGCAAACCCACCTCCCTGAGGTCTTGATGCTGGTCTTGCTTCATCAGTTGCCCCATTTACTTGCGTCTCCAACCCCCTTCCAGGAGCCCAGAGCAAGAGTCAGCGAGTTGGAGCCCACAGACTGGATCCTGTCCACCGCCTGCCGCAGACTCTTCTGTTTGCTTGTTTGGGACGTCTGCGGTTCTGTCTGCTTTGGGGGATCTGCTCTTTGTTTTTGTGGTTGAGGTTCCCCGGGACGCAGCCCCTTGCCCCTTGGTTACACTGCCTATGACTGCCTTCGCGCTACGGTGGCCGGGTTGAGTGCTCATCACCGCAGAGATCCCACAGCCAGCCCAACTTAGTCTGTTTCTTAGCTGGCTCGTTACAGCAATGGTCCGTGGATGCTTGGGACCCTGATGTGTCGGAAGGCTGTACCAGCACTCAAGGAGGGCCACTGAAGTTGCCCCGAGATGGGACTGGGAAGATGTAGCGGAGGTGTTCGCTGTCAGCCCACACCTAGGCTCAAATCAGGCCAAGCGGCCACTTCTCACAGAGCCAGTCGGCTTTCCGCATCTCTCCTTCACGTCCCGCTCACTCGTAAACCCGTGCAGTCCAGCCTCTGCCCCTCCTTTCCGCAGAAACGGTTCCCACTAGGACCACCCCGACCCCCCCAAGCCTGGTCCGTCACCCTTTGCTCAGTCTCAGTCACGCACGAGCTCTCTTTAGCATCTGCCTCTCTTGACTACATCCGTCTTGAAATTCTGGTGGCTTCCAGGAGACTAGAGCAACCTTGAATTGCCTCTTATTTCTTCAGCGATTCCTTGTCGGGTCCCTCCCCTTGGGTCTTCTTCCTTCCCCTCCTGCCTAAGCACATGCTCTGCACACATTTGCCCAGGGCCTCCGTCTTCCCTCGAGGTTTCTCACTGGGACAAAATCATCCCTTTGCCTGCTTTTAATATTAATACTCATGTCGATGTGGATGTCTTTCCAGCGTTTAACTTCTGAACGGACAGCCCAGATTTCCATCTTCCTGAAAAAAAATCTCTGGCGGTCCAGTGGTTAAGACATTGCCATCCAATGCAGGGGATGTGGGTTCGATCCCCAGTCAGGGAGCCAAGATCCTGCAACCTTGCGGCCAAAAATAACCCCAAAGAGAAAGCAGAAGCAAAACTGTAAGGAATTCCAGAAAGGCTTTTAAAAATGGTCCACGTTAAAAAAAAAAGAGAGAAGCCCAGGTTTGTAAGAGAATGCTGCAACTCCTCAAATGCTTGTCTTTCTGAGCAGACAAGCTGATTTCGTTCACTATCACTGTCAGAGGCACCGTGCTGACCCCTGCCCTGCCCGGTGCATGACTGCCTCGCCTCCCGTCTCCCCCTCCATGGCTGCTCGTCCTGAGAGGTCTGCCCTCGATGCGTCCCTCCTCAGGGGCAGTCTCATCCACTCCTGCAGTTTCAGCGGTCACCTGTGCGTGAATCACTGCCCAGTCCATCTCTGGGTGTGTTTCCAGCTGCCACCTTGCATTCCCAGCATATGAGGTAGGTGTCGGGTGTTTCTGCCTGCCCAGACTCCATCCTGAACCTGGTAACTGCCCCTTAGCTTTCCTTTGGGGAGACAACTGTTCCCTGCTTCCCGCCACGTGGTTCACCCAAGGCTGACCTCATCTGCCCCTTCGGGGGGCAATCCCAGAAGCCAAGTGTATCAGTCGTCTCTGGCTGTGTGACAAATTAGCCCAGAATTCAGTGCCTTAAGACAGCACACATTTATTTTCTCGCTGTTTCTGTAGGTCGGGAATCTGGGCAGGCTTAGGTTGGGTCCTCGGATCATGGCCTCTCATGAGACTTCAACCAAAGTGTCCCCCAGCGCTTGGGTCTCATCTGAAGGCTCAACAACGCTTGCAGAGTTGTGGGCAGGATTCAGTTGCTCACGGGCTGTCGGACTGAGGGTCTCGGCTCTTTGGTGGCAATTGGCCGCGCTCAGCTGCTGGCCACGTGGGCGTCTGCCCCGTGGCGGCTTGCATCAGCAAAGCCAGCAAGTCTGCTAGCAAGATGGAAGTCAAAACCTTCTGCCGCCTAATCCCAGAAATGACCGCACCACCATGTTGCTGTATTTGATTGGTCAGAAGTAAGTTACTCAAGAGGAGAAGATGACACAAAAATATCATCTAGGAAGCAGATTCACTGGGGGGACAACTTCGAGGCTGTCAAGCACAGAAGTTTTAGCCAGTTAAACCACAATAATTGAGTCAAAGCCGGGTATCTAATCAAAGTCAATCGGAATTAGACCTGAGAGTTTTGCCAGGACTTTGGAGAGAGTGGAGTTGCTGGCATTGTTCCGCAGGAGACGGTAAACTTGAAAGCGCTGGAGGTCATAACCACTGCCTTCTGGAGGAGGATCAGCCTAAACTGGAAATGGATTAAGGAACAAGAAGGCAAGAGACGGGCAGAGAGATATGCCTGATACAGCCACACTTACAGCAGACCCTCTAGAGTCTTCGGTTATATAAACCCAGATGTTCCTTCTGCTTCTATTGGTTTCAGACGAATTCTGCCACCCACAGCCAGAGGGATCCTAGTGGATAAAATGTCTCAGAAATACCTGGATTCAGTTTGCCCAAATCCAGTTCAATGATCTTACCTTCGTCTCCCTCACAAAGCTGCTGCTTTTCCTAGGTTCTATTTTGCAATTGAAAGCATGACACAGATGCTTAGGGCGAAAACCTCGAAGTCATTTTTGCCCTTCCTCATCTGCTCTGGGGGTGGAATAGCCCGTGCAACATGGATTCTATAGAACGGTAGGAGAGACTGTTTTCCTTCGCAAAGACGGAGGAGGCTCTAAGGTGACCCAGAGAAATGTAAGCTAAACAAGGCAGGTTTCCTCCTAGTCATTTGAATCCTACAGAATTTCTAGAGATGAATCACATGATTTAGAGGTGGAAAATAGTGTACCTGACTGTCATATCAAAACACCACAGACAAAATGAAGTTCTGACAAGCTGCCTGGTGACCTTATTGTTTGGAAGGCACTTTGAGTGAAAATATTCACTCTAAGGCAAATTTTAAGAAATTGTGTTGTTGGAAAGTCAGTCATACTTTCTTTGTCATCTTTCTTGTTAGAGTCCCAATCGTAATTCTGATTTTCCCATTCTTTCCCTATGCCACTTTCATCCAGAACTGCCCTGAATCCTGTGCGTTTAGATGCTATTCACCTGTCAGCTTAATATCCACCCTGGGGTTTTGGATCATCCTCTGAAAAGTCTTCCTTCCAATCTCCCCTCTTTCAGAGTGTGAGTCCACAACATGGACCTCAGACCATTCATCTGCCCCAAACTGTGATGGCTCTCTAGTGCCCAAACCACATTTTCTAACCTCTATTGGGTTGTTGGTTTTTAGTTGCTAAGTTGTGTCTGACTCTTTGCAACCCCATGGACTGTAGCCCACCAGATTCCTCTGTCTATGCAATTCTCCAGGCAAGAACACTGGAGTGGGTTCCCATTTCCTTCTCCAGGGGATCTTCCCAACCCCGGGATCAAACCAGTGTCTCTTGCATTGGCAGGCAGATTCTTTATCTCTGAGCCGCCAGGAAAGCATTTAATGGGTTAAGGACCCTTTTTTAAAAAGCTGATGAAATCTATGGGTAAGGTAGATCTTTCTAGAAAAATCTATATTTTGTGTTTTGATGTACATTTCAAGATTATGAACCCTCTGGAGTTCACTACATATTGCGCCCACCTTTCATCAATTTAGGTTAGACCTTCATACAGAGAATACATTCCAAACTTTTTTTTTTATTCCAAATTTCTTAGCGTGGCATTCAATGCCTTCCAGACTGAACCCTACCTGCCTTTCCAATTGCAGCTACCGCCTCGTGCAGTCACGGTTAGTTTACGTCTGATTCCCCGTCAAGCCCAGAGTCTCCCTGAGAGCAGAGTGTGCCTTTCAATTTTTCCTTGTTACATCTCCCTGGACAGAATGACAGTTTCTCAGGGGCAACAGTCAGAACACTTAGCACAAGATCAATTGTTAGTTCACTGCTAGATTTTTTTAAAAATTATTTTATTATTGTTGGCCCCGGCCCCCTTTAGAACTGACAGAACCAGCATGCGGCCATTAACATCAAGCTCCTTCCGAATCGGCCCTCGCAGTTGAGTACGTGGAGTCAGGAAGTGGCGGGCGACGTCTGCCTCCTCGTGCGATGCGAAAGGCACAGTGAGGCTGCTGGTGGAGATATGGTTAAGGCACCATCCACATTACTCATATGGCTTGTACGTCAGGCTCCCTGCTCACCGAGAACCGCCTTCTCCCACAAGGCCACCACTGGATACCCTGGATATCACTGCCCAACCCTCTGGATCCCTTCAGGTTGCTTTCCTTCACCACTATCCTCTGGCAGCCAGACCACCTCAGACCCATACCCTCCACCCCCGCAGAGTACCCTCCTCCCACACTTTAGGCCCTGCCACCTGCAATCCCCAAACCACCCCTAGCCCACACCCCGAACCCTGCGGCCGCCCGGCCCACTGGGGCTCCTGGAATAGGATACAACTGGAGGGCTCGGTTACTCAGAACTCCGGCTCCAGGTGCAGCGTCTCCAGCAGGCCCTGGTGCGTGGGGTGCCCCTAGGATCTGTGGAATGGCACCGGCTGCACCACCTGACTCTCCGGCAGCACTGGGTCCTCTGGGATTAGCGTGGTCACCGGAGCCGCCAGGGACTCCTCGACTGACGGCGTCACCAGGGACATCCGGGTCACCAGGGCCACTGCGGCCACCAGCGCCACCCAGAACGCCTTGACCACCACCTGCTGTGCCCGCTGCAGAGGCCTCGGCAACTGCGTCTTCATCGGCTGCCCTCGTGACTCCTCCATCGTTTGCCTCGGACTCCATCTTGAACGCTCTGCCTCTCCCTCCGCGGCGGGAAAGACTGAACAGTCTCCACAGATACGGGCCCTGTAGTGAGACCTGCAACTCAGCAGAGCGCCTGCGCAAACCCACCCTGGTCCTGCCTCATGATTGGTTCCCACCCACAATGGGCGCCCTGATGAAGCTTCACGCATTCACGCGCCATGTAGCCCCGATGCCTCATCTTTCTTATTTAAACTTTATGCTGGTTGATTAGTAATTTTCCATTTCTCTTTCCCTCCAGCCCTTGGCAATCACTGTTCCATTCTTTGATTCTGAGAGTTTAACTATCTGGGAAATGTCATATAAGTGGAATCACACAGTATTTGTCTTTCTGTGATAGGCTTATTTTATTTACTGTAATATTGTCAAGGTTCACACATGTTTTCACTCATTGTGGAAGTTCCTTCTGCTTTTAAGGCTGAATTCTATTCCACTCTGTGCCTTTACCACATTTTCTTTTTTTTTTTTTTTACATTTTCTGTATCCATTCGTTGTCAGTGGACATTTAAGTTGTTCCCACATATCAACTATTGTGAATAGTGTTGCAATGAGCAGCTAGATTTATTAATTTCTAGCAGCAAAAGGATTTTAGGGTGACCTGACAAGCCAGTATGATTCAATGTCCTATGCCCCAAAGCTGTATCTGCAGAAAGCCCTGATTTCAAAACTTTCCAGTTGTTGTGGACCCCAGAGTGACAGGAACTGTTCAGACACTGTGCCATGATTTTGGTTTAAGAAAATATAGGTCTCCGCTGGGGAACTTCTTACGGCCTTGGCCAGTACTAATATCAGGAATTGTTTTCGGCAGCTGGAGCCCTTTGGGACCCTGGAGAAACTTAAAGAACCGGCTCCGCTGGTGGATTCTCAGGTGAGTTTATTGATTTCATATTGTAGCTCTCAGCTCCACCCCCACCCGCAGAGCAAGCCAGAACAAGAGGTAGGAATGTCTCCTCTGTTACTCCAAAATGGGCTTTCTCAGGAGATCTCCTGGGAGTCCCGGGAGAGGGGCAATTTCCTCTCACCCCTCTTTGGCCCCGTTTAAAAATTCCCTCCCCCACCCCCACCTCCCATGGGTGAGGGACATTTCATATCACACGGTGGGAAGTAGAAAGAAGACAACATGAGTCCCTTGTAGTCCAGGCCCTCTTCGGACCAGGGCTCTGTCTTGCATGACACGGTATTTCCAGGTTTGCAGAGTGCCTAGCACATAATGAGCCCTCAAGTTATACTTGTTGAATGAATGAATGGGGAAACGGGAGACGTCAGTGGTCTTGGCTTCTAATTTGTGAGTGTTTGTCTTCAGAAGCTCTATGCTTTCTCTGTGGACACTTGGAATCTTGTGATTTCATCCAACAAGCAGCTCTAAAGGATCTGGGTCCTACTAGGCCTGTCAGGACCAATGAGATGACCTCAGATTTCTCTCATATGCAACATATGCATCACTGATAAGTCAGATACCCTCCTTGTGTGCAAGGGCCTTACATGATTCTATCGATGTGCTATGGTTGGGGTTATCAGTTAATATCAGTTTCTACCTCATGATCCATAATGGCCACTCAAGCGCCAGCCATCGTGTTTTATTCCAGCCTGTAGAGGGGAGGAAGAAGGACTGAAGAAGGATGTGCTCCTCTTTTAAAGGGACTTTCCAGAGGTTATCTCTGATACTTCTCCTTACCTCCCATTAGCCGGAATGTAGTCACATGGTCCCAGCAGATTTCAAGGGAGGAGTTCTTTATATTTCAGGTGGCCAGGTAACCAACTGGCTAAATATCAGGGGCGCTGTTACAAGGGAAGAAGTGAGGAACGTACTGCAGGGGACTGTTGACGTGGTTGAGGAGGTGGTTAGACCTGGGAAGTCTGGCCTTGCAAAGCCAGAGACCCTTCTCTCTGCTCACGCTGCCCTTCGCTGCTCTCGTCTGTGGAGTGGTGGCCACCCGCCCAGTCCCGCGCCGTGGTCAAAAAGCGTGGCTGCCGGGAGGGAGACGGCCGGAGGTTCAGATGGGTCTGTGGGCCTCTCTTTTTCTCCCTTCGTGAAGTGAGGACAACAGTCCCCATTGTGTATGGTTAGGGTGAGTACTTCACTCCTCAGAAGTCCCTGGGACAGGCTTGTGGCCCATGAGTGGTGCTTTTTTTTTTTTTAAAGAATTATTGTTAAAAAAATATACAGTTCCCCTTTTGAACCATGTTTAGTGTGTAGCACTACTGTACCCTGACTTCACGTTGTCACGCAGCAGGTTTCTAGAACCTGCTCATCTTGCAAAACTGGACTGCCCCACCTATTAAACAGCAAGACCCCCGATCCCTCTGCCTCCAGCCCCTGGCAACCACCATTCTGGTCTCTGAGAATTTGGCTACTTTAGACCCCTCGTATCAGTAGACTTGGACGTTATTTGTCTTTGTCACTGGTGTATTTCAGCAGTGACCAGAGGCAAATAATGTCCAAGTCTACTGATATGAGCCTAACGTCCTCAAGTTTCATCCATGTTGTAGCATATGGCAAAATTTCCTTTTTTTTTTTAAACTGAATCACATTGCATTGTATGGATATGCTGCATTTTCTTTAGCCACATATTCTTTTTCCAAATGGATGTTTAGGTTGCTTCTGCCTCTCAGCTGTTGTGACTGATGCTGTGAGATTGGTGCTTCTTGGAATTTCCCTGGTGGTCCAGTGGTTTGAGTTTCCACGCTTCCCATGCAGGGGGTGTAGGTTCCATCCCTAGTCTGGGGATAAGATCCCACACGCCGCGCAGTACAGCCAAAAGCTAGACAAACAAATAAATAGCTACAAAAGAGAATGGTGCTTCTTATCAGAGACTACTTAGTATGAGAGACTAGTTCTCCCCTTTCTTTCAATACCCTTTGGTGGGGAGCTTCACGGTTTGCTGGTTTTTTGTTTTTCGGGATGCAAATAATTGTTAGATGAAACATCTTAGGTGGAAACAAACAAGGTGGATGACTCTGGGAGTTCTATAGATATTGTGTATCCTTTAGAGGGACAGTGGAAGGGGACAGTTACAGAGTGCAGATTCTCTTTAGGTGGCCCGTTTGCATAGATAAGACATCTGCAGTGATGTCACACTGCTGAATGCCAGAGTCACGAAAATTCCAGGCTCCAGACGTTTCGTTACAGGAAGGGTGCAGAACCATCACCCAGTTCTCACTGAAGCCAGCCCTCCATGAGTCCTAAATCCCGACCTCAGGGACACAGGCCTGAAGCAGCAGTGAGGAGGAAAGACCACGCAATGTGAATGTGTGATTCCCTCGCTGAGAAATAACCCGTTACACAAAACCCTAGCTGATAATAACTATGAGAATTGAAGCCTCGGGTTTCCTACCTCCAGTTGTTTTCTCAGGAGACACAAAATGTAAGAGTAACATTGATGTCATTGTTTTAGAAAAATAAGATCTTTACGCAAATATGGACATTGCACACTTTGAATCCAAAGCGTTTATAGGCCTTGATGGTGTCTATGGTATTCCCAAGGAGCTTCCTAGTAGCTGGAATGAAAAGGCAACCACTCATGAACATGCTGCTATTGACTGGAAAGAGCAGAGGGCACTTCTAGGGGGAGAGGAGGACGTGGCTCACACTGGACTCAGAAGAATGACAGCATTTGAATAAATGGACCAGGAGTTCCCTGGTGGCGCAGTAGATATGAGTCCACCTGCCAATGCCGGGGACACAGGTTCGATCGCCGGTCCAGGAGGATCCACGTGCTAGGGAACAAACACGCCTGTCCATCACAACTGCGGAGCCTGGGCCCAGAGCCTGTGCTCTGTGACGGGAGAAGCCACTGCCGTGAGCAGCCTGTGAGAACCCTGCAGCCACGGAGCAGCTCCTGCTCCCACGGCTGGAGACCGCCCGCCAAGGCCACGCAGACCCAGCGCAGCCAAAGCGTAAAAACTAAAACAAACGGACAGGATTCAGGAAGGCGCTTTTCTTTGGTTTCGTCTCAGCCAATAGGTACTGAGTGCCAGCTTGGTAGGTGCCAGGCTTCCTGCTTGAAGCTGAGGCTAATGACAAAAAGACACGGTCCCTGCCTTCCAGGGATTTTTCAAAATTGTCTAGGCAAGGGGAGCAGCTTTTTCTTTTCTTTTTCTTCAATATTCATTTTATTTATTTTTCTTTTTTAAAAAAATTAGTGTATTGATTTTAATTGGAGGCGAATTACTTTACAGTTTTGTGGTGGTTTTTGCCATACGTGGACATGAATCCGCCCTGGGTGTGCATGTGTCCCCCACATCCTGAACCCCCCTCCCACCTCCCTCCCCATCCCATCCCTCGGGGTCATCCCAGTGCACCAGTCCTGAGCACCCTGCCTCATGCATGGAACCTGGAGCGGCTTTTTCTAGTGAGCACCACACTGCCCTGGTCCTCACGCTCTGAAGGGACACAGAGTCATCTCCAGGGGACCCAGTCCCCACCAGTCAGGGCTGGATGAGCAGGGGTGGGGACGGGGGGCTGACCATCTGGCTGTGGCCGCAGGGAGGAGCTGGCCTTGACGGTGACCCTGGAGCCGGCGTCAGGTACCCTGTGTCTGCTGGCCCCAGACCCCCGCCTCTCATCTCACCCTGTATCCAGGCGTCTTCCGCTCGGCCCCTGAGCCTTGGCCCAGGGGCTCCTGTTATTTCCACTGTGGATCTCCTTGAGGCTCTGGCCCTTAATCTGGTTTAGGAGAGGAGGATGAAGTCCCCGTGCGGTTTCCAGGAGAAACCCCTCAGCTGTAAGCAAGCCCTTCACACCTGAGACCTGAGCTGGGGAGTCCCCTGCCTGGAGGTGGGGTCGGGCAGGAGACGCAACAGGACCCCAGGCAAACAGCAGAGTCTGGTTTGAACGCAATCGAGCCTCCCCAGCTGGGGTGACCTTGAGCAAATCATTTCACCGAGGCTCCTTTTCTTCATCTGCGAAGCTGGCAAAACAATGCCAGATCACGGGATGACTGCAGTTTCAGGGAAATGGTGAAAAGGAAGCCTGGTGTGGGGCAGGTGGGAAAATCCCCGCGTGAAGGGGACTTAAGTGAGGGAGGGGAGTGGGGGGTTCATGGGAGCTCCCCACAGAGGAGAGGAGGGTGTTCAGCTGAGCCAGACCGTGCCCCTGACTCTGTGGAGGCGGTCTGCTCGGTCATCCGGTCACCCGAGGAAAGCGGGGCGTCGGGGTGGGGGCGGGGACGGGAGGCCGGCCTGTCACCACGGGATGATGGATGAGCCTGTTCGGGGGCTTGTAATTAACACAGGGCAGCTCTGAGATCCTTCCCCTGGGGGAGTGCTCCCCGGGTGAACACTCCAGGGCGTGCCTGGGAGGCCCTCCTCAAGGGCTTGGAGCTGAGGCTGGGTGCAGAGTTTGCGGGGAAACTGACGCAGCCTTTCAGAGGCGGGTGTCCATGTGCTTTTGTACGTGTGTGTGAATGCGAGTGAATGTGTATATCTGTGACTCAAACATCAGCATTTAAAAAAAATATTTTATTTATTTATTTGGCTGCGCTGGGTCTTAGTTGTGGCATGTAGGATCTAGTCCCCTGATCGGGGATCGAACCCTGGGCCCCTGCTTTGGGAGTGTGGAGTCAGCCACTGGACACCAGGGACGTCCCTCATAACAGTGAGGGCATGTACGTGTGTGCGCATATGCACGTTTGTATGTACTTGCACATACCTGGGCTTCCCTGGTAGCTCAGCTGGTAAAGAATCCGCCTGCAATGCAGGAGACCCCTGCTCGATTCCTGGATTGGGAA